AATACAGACCGTCTTGTCCGGTCGTTCTTTGTTTAAAGCGACCGCTATGTCTCCCTTGACAAGTTTGGGGCGTGGGACATCCCCTCTTGCGTCGACGAGGTCGACTTCGAGATGTTCAAAGGTTGCCTGGTAGCACTCCTTGGCTTTCTTTGGGTTGCCTCGGACACGCTACGTCTGTCCTCCGCTAGGGAGCTCCAACATCTGGTGGCACGTGGATGCGACTGCCACGAATGAAGCAAGGAAACCGCGTCCTAGGATGGCGTTGTACGCCGAAGGAAAATCCGCTACGTGGAATTCCACTGGCCTAGTCTTGGTGATCCCGCCCTCGCCTATGGTGACCTTTAGTGTGATTGACCCGAGGACACGAACATTAGTTCCTGAGAACCCTACCAAGCTAGTGTTGGATGGGTTGAGGTCTTGGGCGCTCTTCTTCATTCCTTTGAGTGCTGAGTAGAAGAGGATGTTTGCGGAGCTCCCGTTATTTACGAGGGCTCGAGTGGCCTTGAACTTGGCGATTCTGAACGAGATGGCCAAGGGGTCTTCTGTATTTTCCTCCTTGGCCAATTAAGACGACAAGAAGGTGACGTCGGTCGGCACTCTCCGTTGGATGCTGAGGTAGTGGGCTATGCGGTCTCCCTCAGATCTAGAACGCTTTCTGCCCCCGTGATGGTTATGATCTCCATTCCGTCGTCATCATTGCGCAGAGGTCTGTAGGCGGGAGATTGCCTTTGTGGAGAGATGACCTTCTTTATTGATGAGGATCTTGATATTTCCTTTCTCGACCTTCTTGCTTTGTCTATGTCGGGGCTACGGGAGCCCTCCCGCGTTTCTTGAGAATGGTCTCGATAAGGCTGCCTTGTCTCGAGGTGGCTTCGTAGGTCTCCTGGCGCCACATATCTTAGGATGGCTTTGAACTCCCGACACTTTATGGTGTCATGAGTGGTGATTTGGTGCCAGTCACACCACTTCTTTCCGTCTTGCAGTTCTTGTCCGGAAGATGTCTCATGTTTCTTTCCTCCTTTTCGTCTTTCTCTTTCTCTTTCTCAGTCAGTAGAAAATACTTCCCTTTTGCCGTCACGCTCTGTGTATCTATTACGATATGACCTCCACTCTGGGAAGCGCCTCCCACGTTAAGTGTCTCCTCGCTCTTGAGGGTCAGCTCGGGGGCGACCTTGCTGGGTCTGGTCGTCGGTGGCCAATGCTTCCTCGAGCAAGATTGCTCGCCGCACCAACTGATCTAGATCAGACCATGACGTTAGAGTGACTTCCTTTTTTATCAAGGTCCTTTTGAGCTCGATGCTGGTTGTGGATATTCTGAGATTGCCGTCGGCTACGACCAAGGAGATGCCTTGTATTTCGCATGCGATCGCGTTCCATCGGTCGTAGAACTCAGCGACCAATTCTTCCTTCCTTTGTCTGCAATTTATGAGAGTTGAGACTGTGAGCTTGCGAAGCCTTTGGGATGCGAACTTCGTGGAGAAGAGCATCACAAATTGTTCAAAGTTCTCAATTATCCCCTCCGGGAGTGAGGTGTACCACGTCTGACACTGACCGTTGAATGTGACGGGGAACGCCAGACACAAGTCAGAGTCGGACGCGTTAATGAGCTGCATCTTTAGCATGAAGGCGCAAAGATGGTCCGCGGGATCCGAAGTTTCGCTGTACGTGGGCAACCCGAGAGAGGAGAAGTTAGGCGAGACCGGAGTCTTGAATAGCTCCCTCGATAGGGGATTTTGAAGAATGTTCAGGATCTTGTGTTTCCCATAGGTCGATCGTAGGTGCTACTCAAGAAAGCTGAGGTCTACGTCTTCCGCCTCCAGTCCTCCGCCTTCTGTCCGAGCAGGGTTGTCGAGGACGTGGGCGGTCTTCTACTTTTTTCGCGTGCCTTTCCCTCGAACCCTCAACGGGTTCTTCTCTTGTCTTCAAGAGTTGTAGGATTTGGGATAGGCTGTCCTACATGCTCGCGATTTGCATACCTTGGCTCTTGACTACCTCATCGAGTTCGGTCTCCTCTTCGACTCTTGGTGATAGACCTCGGAGGGTGTTGTTCTCGGTCATCCCTTTAAGAGGGGTCTCGAAATCGTCTCCCATCTTCTCAACGAAGTCCTGAGGCCCCACGGTGGGCGCCAAAATGTTTGTGTCTGTATCATACCAGGCGGTTTTGTGAGACTTCACCTACCTCGTGTGGCTTTCGATAGACGGGGGGCGGTCTTCGAAATCTGCAAGAAAGGTCCTCAGGGGAATCCTGGGGACCTCCTCTGATGTCAAAGTTAGAGAGAGAAGTGAATGTGTTGTAAATAAGAGAGAGAATCGAGTAGATAGAAGTTACCATAAATGCTGCCCCCTTGGGGCTATTTATACGAACTCTAGCTTGGACCGAGGTATTAATGTATTGTCAGGCGACCTAGGACGCTTCTGGACTCATTAAATGTTGCGTCAGTACGGATGTCTGACTTTCTCTGTCCGGAAGAGATCAGAGGAGCGTCAGTTCTCTATGTCGGGTGGTTTTGTCAGTATGTCCGCGCATCATTGTCGAGCGGTCTCCTCGTGGTGTGTATGCGAGACCACCACGGCTTAGCCTACTTCTTTGTGGGCTTTGTAACCATGGGCCTCAGGGCAGGGACGGAGCCAGCGTGTGCTTAGGAGGGGCCATGACCCCCCCCCCCCCCCCAAGATTCTACAAAACTTTAAAAACGTAGAAATGTTGCACTCAGTGTTTGGTGGCGAAATGGTTATGAGATCAAACTAACAAAACTTAAAGGCAGGAGGTATTGAGTTTGAAGCCTGCCTCTGCTCCTTTTTTTTTAACCCTGCCTGGCTGCCTTCGTACTGTTAAGCTTAGTTATATTAGTTTTTGATTTTAATATTGGAATGTATATGAATTTGGGGTTTATTCCCAAAATATTGCCTCTTTTTTAATATGAAACACATGGTTCTTTTACATGAGTTTACAAGATATATTTCATGTACTTTTTAAGTTTTTTTTTCAATTTCTTTGCAAGTGGCTTAGTATTTCTTTAAGAACATTTATGATCTTTGTCTCTATAAATGGTTATATCTTGAATACTTTATTTTACTATTAGACTCTATCTAATTTAGGGAATTATGATATTGATAAGTACATGAGATGAAACACATTATGCTTCTATCACGAGTTTAGAGGAGATACGTCACGATTTTTGTAATTTTTACCAGTTTTTCTAGGCTATACACTAATTTTTTTATGAAAGATTTATATGTTATATTTTTCTTATATATTTTCTCATCACTATAAGTATATAAATTTATTTTGGCCCTCCTAATAAGAATCCTAGCCCCGTCTCTGCCTCAGGGCCCACGTATTCCAATACTTGGCCCAACAGATACCTTTGTTTGTCCTCTTTAATTCTTTATCTATTCATTTATGTACATATATATGTATATGTTGGGGATACAACATAATTACGTGCGCAGATATACCAGTCGCAAGAATCCAGCAAGCAAAGAAAGAATACCATTCATGAGCTTAAGGGATAGGGCGGTCAGAAGATATACTCGCGGAATAGGACTCTCAAACGACGTCATGGCGCCCTGACACATTATCACTTCCCAAGCATGGGCTGGGTCAAGACTCAAGAGCCTATACCCCGGTCTTGTCTAAATGTCACATTGCATTTAAAGCCCATCCTCTAGAGTGAAGGCTATAAATAGAGCATTTACTCTAGCGTGCGAGATATCGATTTTTTGGAACTTTCCACTAGCTTTTATACTTTCTCTCTCTAAACGCTCTCGATTTTTTTTAAGAATAACCTCGCCGTTAAACATAGTATAATATAACACAACCTCTCGTAACCCAAATTCCTATGTCTCACTCCTACTCTCAATTAGACACAAAGAGTGCAGTTTGCCTTATTCGATGAATCTCATTCTCACCTCTATGACTCTATCGTCAAATTGAAGTAATTTAGATGCAATGCAAAATTCCATTGGACTTCAACTCTTCCCTTTTGCCTTCCTTTCGGGGTAAATGACAAGGTTGGTCACTCAGATTACTAAAAAGTTTCATATTTGGTCACTAGAAATATTTAATTCCGTTCACGGTCACTGAGATTACTTAAACGGTCCAAGTTTGGTCACTCTCTGTTAACTTCCGTTAGTCTCGGTTAACGGCGTTAGTTATTTGCTGATGTGGCTAACAGAAGTGTCCAGTCACCAAATTTTAACCCCAAAATACTCAAAATCCGACCCGCCACATAAGATACCCCAATCCAAGCTAACCCAAAGCCAAACCTAACCAACCAACCTCTTCTCTGTATGACCCGATTGAAAAAAAAGTTTTAATCTCAAATTCCCAAAAACCCTTCCGCCACTCTCATCCTTCTCCTCCGCCTCCACGCCTTATCCTTCTCCCTCTCTTCCTCCATCTTCATGCCACCAAGTCCAGGGGATCAAACCCTTTCACCTTTCGATCACCCCTCCTCCCTCAGATTAGCAGCTTCCTTCCAATCGCACTCCCCCACCATAGTTGACCCAAGGTTCACAAGGGCTCTTTCTTCAATTAGTTCTACAATTAGTTCTACATGGGTGTAGGGGTTTGGGATCCCGGCAGTAGCAATGGCGGTTGCGGTGGCGAACTTCTTCTCCGGAACACGATTATATAGTTATCAGCGGCCCCAATCAACTACTCCGCAAGAGCTCCTCTACTGCCTCCCACATGCAAGCTCGGATCTGCACTTAAAATGCCCAACCAACTACTTCGTAATTCAATTGCCCCAATAACTTTCACGACACAAGCTATTTCGCCCAAGTGCACATAAAGGTGTATTCGAATTCGGAATCGAACTTCACCCGAACCCAATTGATGGCGGTGGTGGGTTAGCAGGGATTCTTGAACCCTCGTAACACACAGAGAGCGGAAAGTTGAGGCCACCGTCGCTGTCGATCGGTAGAGCTTGATTTAGGAGGATGCGGCGGATTTGATTAGAGATGCTTCATTGAATGGCCGGATGGAGCTTAGGGTTATGGGTGAATTTGAAGCACACTGTTCTGCTTTTCCTTGCCGTCTTGGCGACCTGATCCGACCCGTGATCTGCCCAAGGGAGAGCCTCTACATCCTCACCGTCAGCGGGAACGTCTTCCTCTTTGCTTCCACACCCAAAAGGGCATGCTCGCCGTCAATCTGGTCGCCAAGAGGGAGAGGAAAATCCCGCCCAGAGAGATCGAGAATAGCGAGGAGGTGGAGAGATTTAGGGATCGGGATTTTTTTTTTCCAGACGGAGGCGAAGGGTTTGGTTCACTGGTTGGGTTAGGTTAGACTGGGTATCCTAGGTGGCGGGCTTTACTGATGTGGCTGGTTAGATTTAAATTATTTTGGTTTTAAATAGGTTGACTGGACACTTCTGTTAGCCACGTCAGCAAAAAATTAACACCGTTAACGGAGACTAACGGAAGTTAACGGAGAGTGACTAAAGTTGAACTGTTTAAGTAATCTTAGTGACTATGAATGGAATTAAATATTGGCAAAATACATCTGTATAGCCATAACTTTCACACTTTTGACAAATATAGCCATTATTATTCGAAAACCACAAATAGCCACTTCTGTCCATCTCTTTAACGGTGTTACTTAACAATCTGACTGTACAGACGGAAATGATGAGCTGACAATTTCTCGTCAGACACGTGGATTAAAAAAAACAAAAAAATAATTTTTTTATTTAGTAAAATATAAAAGAAGAAAACCCATATTACAAAAAAAAAAAAAAACCCTTAAAAACCCTAGCCGCACAAACCTTATCTCCCTCATTCTCTCTTATTCTTTCTGGAAAACCAACGAAAAAGAAGAGTAAGAATACAGATGAAGTCGATGAGCTCGTCTCTCTCGATCTTCTCATCCTTCCATTTCTCGATCGGCCCCTGTTCTTCCCCAACTAGCGCCGATCTGCTCTCTCTCTCTCTCTCTCTCTCTCTCTCTCTCTCCTTTTCTGAAAATGACGAGAAGAAAAGAACGCCGGTAATTGAGGACGACGGTGACGAAGGTGTTTGACGCAGGCGATGATGAGGATGGCGGCGGCGAAAGGCTATAGAACTCCTCGGAAGTCAGAACCTCTTCAGGGGGGTCATATTTCTGGCGGCGGCGGCGAAAGACTTTCTTCACTCCAGCAGTTTTGGTTGTCGCTGTAGCTGAACGGAGATAGAGAAAATGGTGGGAAATTCGAGATGCGCACCGAAGTTGAAATGGATTCGTTCTTCGAATCAGCCAATTGTTTGCTAGAGTTCTCGATCTTTTTAATCCTTGGCTTGCCGCCCAGCTTCACCTTGGCCACAGTTTGTTACCGCTGGCGACGAGAGAGCGTCGAAGGAGAAGTTTCAGACGGGGAGAGATGGAAGGAAAGAAAACCGCCGTCGACAGAGGCGAAGAATCTCCGGTCGTGATGATGACGAAGCAAAGGGAGGAAGGGGAAGGGTCTTGCAGAGTTGGCGACGAATCGATAGTCAATCGATTTCGCTTCCCGTTTCCTAGATAGCCGCCGAGCTTGAATTGAGAAGAAGCAGGGGCCAGGAGGTGCTGCCGCCATTGTTAGTGGTGGTTAGGGGTCTTTTGATTGGGATTCAATTGTTGTTGGCGGAGCTCGACTTCAATCCCACCACCGGGAAGCTCGTGGTATCTGCGGCATCGGTAGGGATGGGTGAATCGGGGAGATCGATGAAGGTTTGCAGGCTTGAGGGCGGCGATGAGGGAAAGTGGAAGGGGTAGGGAAAATTTTAGTGAAGATTTTTTTTGTTTTTTTTTTTAATTTTAAATTAATTATTTTAATAATTTAAAATGATGTGGCAATGATATGCTGACTGGTCGCTGACGTGTGCGATGATTTGGCATCTTAGTCAGCCTAACGTTAACCTAACTGACGGAGTTTCTAACACCGTCAAAGTTTCTAACAAAAATGGCTAGATTTATCACATACGATCCAATTTTTAGGCTATTTGAGGTTTTCGAATAGTAATGGCTATATTTGTCAAAAGTGTGAAAGTTATGGCTATACAAGTGTATTTTGCCTTAAATATTTTTAGTGACCAAATGTAAAACATCTTAGTAATTCCAGTGACCAATCTTGTCATTTACCCCTCCCTTTCGAGTCCAAAGGCCAAAGCTAATCAGTACTAATCACCAATTCGGAAATTCCTCAGCAGTCAGCACAGCAGTACGCGAATATTTATATTTCCCATTAATTGTTTTTTTCATTCGGAAATTTTCAAAATTGAACTTTTTTCCCTTTTCTTCCCTAAAAAATTTAAGGGTTAATACCTTAGTTTGGCCCGAATTATACACATACTTTCTACTTTGGCCCGAATTGTTGAATATTGCTACTATGGCCTGAACTATGTAGCAAACATCCTCATATGGCCTGGAGGCGCGTTTGACCGTCAAAACAGACGGTCAACCAAGTTGACCGTTAGTCAATTGCCACATCAGCTGCCACGTATACATTAAAAATTATATTTTTTTTACAAAAAATAAAAAATAAATTAATAACTCTAAAATAAAAATGGAACGGAAAATAAAAGAAAAATAAAAAAAATAAAAAAAACCCATCCCTATCTTCCCGCATCGATTCGTATCTGGAAGTACCTCCCCCCTTTCAGACCCATCGTCTACCTCCAACTCACTTCCCCGACGAATTCTGGGCGATTCTCGAAGATTCTCCGGCAAAAGCAGCGGCGGCCGGTCGGTGATAGACGCCGCCGTCGCTGATTCGCCCCGACTCCTCCTTCTCCCTTCCCCTTCGATTCGCCCCGACTCCTCCTTCTCCCTTCCCCTTCGATTCACCTTATTTTCTTCTAACCCAGAACCCTAACCCAGACCCTCTTCTTCTTCGATTTGCCCCGACTCCTCCTTCTCCCTTCCCCTTCGATTCACCTTTTTTTCTTCTAATCGATTCGCCCCGACTCCTCCTTCTCCCTTCCCCTTCGATTCACCTTTTTTTCTTCTAACCCAGAACCCTAACCCAGACCATCTTCTTCTTCTCGTTGTCGAGGCGCAGCACTCCAGAAGGAGAAAAGTCCTTCCCACCTATCTCTCTCTTCTCCAAAACAGCCCCTTTCCCAAAAGTCGCTTTCCAGAACAGCCCCTTTCCCACCCATCGATCTTTTCTCCAAAGAAGAATAAAGCGAAGCTGTCGACAGAATCGGGACCACAGTGGGAAAGCAAATTTCTGGACCACTAGGTAAGCAATCAATCTCTCTCTTCATAAACAATAGAATCCAAGAATCTGGATTTGGCCATATGTGGAATACTGTGTAGTGGAGATTAAACAATAGTTGTTGATTTGTCTTTGTCTTTATTTTTTGAATTGTGTACATGCAGGATGGACGACGTGATTACGCTTATTTTGGTTCATGGAGGTGCTATGGACATGTCTGGTGTGGTTCCGAAGTATGTTGGTGGTGTGGAAGACGTCATTGACATTCATCGTGATGTCTTGTCTTACTTCGAGATTACGAAGACCCTTATTGAAGATTTGTCCTATCTATCGGTTGAAAGGGTTTGGTACTTGACCCCGGGGGAAGACATGGCTACTGGATTGCACGAAGTTCACTCTGATGTGGAAGTCATGACCTTACTTACAGATGCTGAGAAAGGAGATTTGAGGGTCTACTTCGAGGCAACTAAAGACATTGGTGAGTTTGGCTATATGGGTGACAACTATGGTCATGATCCTCAAGGATCGGAAGAGGATGGTGAGCAGTCGGCTGTGCCTGAGTTTCTGCGAGTGGAGGAGAGTAAAGAAGCTGTAATCAGCAATGCGATTTATAATGGAGCAGACATTAGATGGGCAAGGAGTAGTGGAGTGAGAAAGGAAGCTGTATGTGCAAATAGGAAAGAATATCAGTGTGGTTGGAGGGTGTATGCGAGTTGGTGGCGCAAAAACGAATGCTTTATGGTGAAAGGAGTTGGTGAAGCTCATAGCTGCCCCCGGTCTCTTCGGATTCGTGCAGCTGGTTACAAGTGGATGGCCAAAGAATATCTGGAAACATTTAGGGTCAATCAAGCGTGGGATGTTGGGCTAATAGCAAACGAGGTAAAGCGCAAGTTCAACCTGATTGTATCGACTGCTACTTGCTACCGAGCCAGGTTGGAAGCTCGTCGGCTGCTGTATGGGTCTCTTGAAGAAGACTTTCACCAAATTAGAGACTACATAGGCCATCTTATAAAAGTGGACCCTCAAGGCAAATTCCTTCTGGAAGTGGATATTGAGCCTGGTGAAGACAAGGTCTTTTTCAAAAGACTCTACGTTGGCTTTTCGAGTTTGTGTAAAGGGTTCATAGCGGGATGTCGACCTTTCTTTTGCCTCGACGGCTGTTTCCTAAAAGGAGAGGTGCAAGGCATGTTACTGTCGGCTGTTGGGAAGGACGGGAACAACCACATGTTCCCAATCGCTTGGGCGGTTGTGGAATCTGAAAACAAAAGTTCGTGGATATGGTTTGTAAGCGCATTGCAAGAGCAGCTTGGGACACTCGATGGAAAGGGCTTCACAATTGTGTCAGACCAACAGAAGGTATTTTACTTTTGCTGGTGAAACTTTTAGATATTCTCCACTTTAGATATTTTACTTATTTCTGGTATTTTACTTATTTCTGCCAAGTTGTAACTTGGTGATATGCTCCACTTTAAATGCAGGGGCTTGTGGAGGCGCTCCAAACATGCTTGCCAATGGCAGAGCACAGGAAATGTGCTCGCCATATTCACTCCCATTTCCGAGAGAAGCATAAGACAGCATTAGCAACTGACCTCTACTGGGAGGCTGTATATTCGTTGAATGAGCCTGATTGGAGGTCTGCGGTGCTGCGAATGCGTGAGCTAGGAGGTTCTGAATATAGAGATTTCATGAATTTTGAACCAGAGCACTTCTGTCGGGTTTTTATGAAGACTTTCTCCAAAAGCGATTCAGTTGAGAGCAACATATGTGAATCCTTCAACAATTGGATATTGCGGTTCAGGTCACTGAGAGTTATTGCAATGCTGGAGGGGATTCGTGTTTCAGTTATGACTCGGCTGGTGAAAAACAAAAAGAAGATGAGTCGGTGGAAGGATAGCTTCCCTCCAGTTGTGCGAGGAAAGTTAGAGAAGGCCAAAGACGATGCCAGAATGTGCACTTCCCGTCCTTCTTCAGAAACCATGTTCGAGGTATCTCACGATGGGAAGGGATTCGTGGTGGACTTGAAGGAACATACATGCAGCTGTGGGTGGTGGGCTCTCAATGGTATTCCATGTTGTCATGCTTATTCCGCCATCACCTATATGAGAGGTAAACCTGCTAGTTTCGTCCATAAGTTCTTCAAGATCGAATTTGTTCGGGAGGCATACAAGTTTCCGATTCCTCCATCTGAAGGGCGGCAAGCATGGCTTCCTGTGCTTGGAAACAAAGTTTATCCACCTAGGATTAGACGAATGCCTGGTCGTCCTAAGACAAAAAGGAGACGGGAGCATTGGGAGGTTAAGAGCAGACCTGGCAAAAACGGAGTCGGAGAAGTTACTACGAGAGCGAACTTAGCTGTCCACTGTGGCAATTGTGGTGGCGAAGGTCATAATGCCAGGACATGCAAGAACCCGCCACTTCCGCCGAGAACTGCAGCACCCCGCAAAAGGAAGCAACCACCACAAGTTCCAACCACACAATTACCACCCAGCACACAAGTTCCAGCCAGCACACAAGTTCCAGCCAGCACACGTGGAAATGACCAAGCTGGAAATGACACTGAGGTAACGAATTCAAAATATCACTTTCATTGTGTTTGCAACGTGGAAATTGACACTATTTGTTGATAACAGGCACCAAGAAGAAGGAAGAAAGGACGTTGCTCTAAGTGTGGATCCGAGCACCATAATGCAAGGACTTGTCCAATGAATTTTGGAATTCAGGTACATGTTTCTCATCTCAGTGAACAATTACACGAATTATGTTGAATGGTTGTGGAGAGTAATGAATTATGCTGTCAATTATGGGTGGATGGATGTGTAGGCTCCTCATGTAGGTTCCCAAAGTAGACGTGTGACTGATCGAGAAATGCAAAGGGCTATGCAAGGGATAGGAACATATATTGATGAGAATACAGGGAACATGTACGCTAGGGTATGTCCTGCTCATTCGTGGTTGACATGTTTTTAAGTTAAGTTGTTATGATTTCTGAACTAATGCAGTAATTCTTGTTTTGCAGCTTAGCGCCCGCGTTCCAGGTCCTCGTGGTGCACAACAAACTGAACCGGATCAGCCTCCTTTCAATAGCACACAGCCTCCGACGACTCAACCGGAGACACCTTAATGTGTAGTAGTTTCATAGTGTAGTTTCGTAGTGTGTTTAGAGTGTTTCGTAGTGTGTAGAACACTTCTTTTTGGCTTGACTCCTTATGTTTCGGATCATAGTCCTGAGGTCCGAGTTGGAGTCATAGGAATTAAATTAGCTCCCCCTTTTGTACATGCTCTCGATAGCAGGAGCTAATGTGACTGTAAAACATCATTTTGCAACATTCGTATTAATGTCACTATGAAGGAGCTAATGTTTTCGTTTAACATCTTTGCGGATTATGGGTACACACTTGTTCTGCACAAAGGTTTACTAACAGGAGGTTGCTTATTCTTCAACAAACACACACAGTAAGCTTACAATCACAAACAAGAATTTGCTTGCAAATGAACCCACAATCCTCACTCACAATTGAACTAACACCATTACAATAAGGGCTATGGCTACAAAGACAGCACACACAATCATTCGACTTTGTAGTGCACATATTGCTTTTCTCATACTTTGCAATTCCATAAAACTAGCTGCACTAATCTCAGTGACCTTCTTCAAATCCTCTAGCATCGACAATTTCTCTTGTTTCCTCCTATTTGCCTTCTCTTCTGCCTTACGAAGCCGCCCTTCAAGTGCCTCCATTTTCAATTTCAGATGCTCATTTTCCTCCATTATTCCATACTCAGATGTACCATCGACCCAACAAAAGAAACGACAATCTTCCTTTACATCTTTCCAAAACGGGCAGGAATAGAACTTCCTTCCCGGATTATCCTCTGTGCGAGAGGTGTTCACAACGCAGGGAGCATTGTGGCCTTGGCATCTTACCTTCGCTGTGTTCGACGAACCGGAAGCGGAAGAGGCAGAAGCTTGGTTGCTGACCCTACCAGCTCGCCTCGACATTGTTGCTGGAGGCCGCGATTTTAATTCTCGGCGAGGGAACTGGGTGGAAGAAAGGAGGCGAGGGAACTGGGTGGAAGAAAGGAGGCGAGAGAAAGGAAGCGAGGGAACTGGGTGGAAGAAAGGAGGCCGCGATTTTAGTTCTCGGCGGCGGGGGCTCGTCGGAGAAGGGATAGGGTTTCGGAGGAAGAAATTGGTTCGGAGAAGGGATAGGGTTTCCCGATTTTGGGTGAGAGGGGGAGAGAGAGGAGGGTATAAATCGTGGCTGTGGGGTTTTTTTTATTTTATTTTATTTTTCTTTTATTTTCCGTTCCATTTTTATTTTAGAGTTATTAATTTATTTTTTATTTTTTGTAAAAAAAATATAATTTTTAATGTATACGTGGCAGCTGATGTGGCCATTGACTAACGGTCAACTTGGTTGACCGTCTGTTTTGACGGTCAAACGCGCCTCCAGGCCATATGAGGATGTTTGCTACATAGTTCAGGCCATAGTAGCAATATTCAACAATTCGGGCCAAAGTAGAAAGTATGTGTATAATTCGGGCCAAACTAAGGTATTAACCCAAAATTTAATTACTCTTACTTCCAGAGTTCGTGCCTCCGCCCATTTTTGTCTTTGTTGCGCTTGTTTTTTCGTAACAACAACAGACCGCCAGGCGCCAAACCAAGCCCCCACCTCCCCGCCACCACCAACCGCCGCCGCTCCTGAACCGCGTCGCCGCCGTCAGGCTCCGGCCTCGCCGTCTCCAGGAGCAGATTTCTCGAGATCCAGTGTTGGCAGAACCTCAGCTATTCCGATTACTCCCTTTCCCGCTCCCGTAAGTTGGAATTTGCCCAATTCCAGTTGTCTCATCTCAAAACTCTCTCTCTCTCCCATTTCTTCCTCCCCCGGCCATTCCTCCGATCACACTTCACATACTTCTCCTTCTTCATCTACTCAGTTTCGGCGATCCTCCCCCGGCGAGTGAGCGGGGGAATTAGTGAGGTGGCTGTGAGGCTTTTCACTTAGGGTTTCTGGAGTAGGATTTAGTTAGCATTTCAATTGAGCAACTGATAGAGCCGGGGAACTTGGCCTGCTGTGAATAATTAGGGTTTTGATGAAGGTTTAAGAGTGGTTTATTGCTAGCCGAGCTGTCTGCATGGTGGTTATCAGTTGAACCTTTCCTTGTTCTAGATGGGAAGGCGATCAGAGCTTCTCCGATCTGATTTCTGAGAGGTAATTCGGGCTTATGATGGTAGGCTGACAATGGTGAGGCTTCTGGGACTTAGTCTCGGAGAATCGGCTGAACCGCCAAGGGAGATCACGTCATCGCGGAGCAACTTGACGAGCGAGTCCAGTGAGAATGGGTGGCTGATCAGGTTCTTTGACTCCGCGTTTTTCTGCGAGTGGATTGCTGTGAGCTACCTGTACAAACATGAGCACTCAGGGGTTCGTGATTACTTGTGTAACCGAATGTACACTCTGCCATTGTCTGGTATAGAGAGCTACCTTTTCCAGATTTGTTACATGTTGATACACAAGCCAAGCCCATCGCTGGATAAGTTTGTTATTGATATATGCTCCAAGTCACTGATGATTGCCCTTAAGGTGCACTGGTTCTTGCTGGCTGAGCTCGAGGATTCAGATGACAATGATGGGATTAGTCGGATTCAAGAAAAGTGTCAGATCGCTGCGACTTTGATGGGGGAATGGCCTCCCTTGCTGAAGCAGCGTAATGAGAATTCAACCCCTGGCAGTAAAAACCAGGTGCTAAACAAGCTGTTATCATCGAAGCAGAAGTTCTTATCTTTGACCTCCTCACCACCTGCACAAAGATCTGTATCATTTTCACATTCATCAGGTAATCATTTGCCAGATGATGGTGGGCAAGGCTCACCTGAGAATAAACTTTTCAAGAAATTCATCCCTGGTCCAAAGGTCAGGGATGCTCTACTTTTTAGAAAATCTATGGATAAAGATGATGAGGATAGTGAGAAGGATGGATTTCTTAAGAGGCTTTTGAGGGACAGCAGTAAACGAGATGAGGAGGAGTTGACGTCAAGCTCTGATGGTTTTTTCAAGAGGCTCTTGAAAGATTCAAATCGAACTGAAGATGATGAGGTAATGTCTAGCTCAGATGGTTTTTTCAAAAGGCTTTTGAGGGATTCAGGGAAAGGTGAAGAGGAGGAGTTGACTTCACCATCAGATGGGTTCTTCAAGAGGCTTTTGAAGGATCATAACAGAGGTGAAGAGGATGAGCTAACAGTAAGTTCGGAGGGTTTTCTTAAGAAATTGTTTCGTTATAGCAAGGGTGAAGGTGACGACCGGTTACTCTCTAAATCAATGGAAGATGATGAAAGAGATGGGTTTTTTAGGAAGTTTTTTAAGGATAAATTTGATGACAAGAAAGACGGGAATGAAAAAAATGAGGATGAGAGGATGAATGCCATGGAGAAATTCGGAAAATCGACGGAGGATGATGAAAAAGATGGATTCTTCCGTAAATTGTTCAAGGACAAGTCCGATGACAAGAAACATGGTCCCGATAAGGGCAGTGAAGGGAATAATCTCAACGGAGAGGAAGAAGAATCTTCAGATAATTCTTTGTTCCGGAAGTTATTTCGTGTGCACCCTGAAGATTCAAAAAGTGCATCGGTCAATGAAAATAGTAGCAATGGACATGTGAGCTTATCTGAAAGTAGCCCAGGGACTGAGAAATTCTTCCGCAAACTGTTCCGAGACCGTGATCGTTCAGTCGAAGATTCTGAATTGTTGAGTGGAAAGAAAAACAAAGAGGTGCATTGAACTTAAGTATTTATTTATCATGTCTATGGTTTAGTGCAGTTGTTTATCTTTGCAGCAATCTCCACTTCAATCATAACTGTCTGCAAGTGTCTGACTTTATTTTTCCACAGCTTCTCTATTTCTATGTCTTGTTTGAGATTAGGGGCAGTGTAGAATTAACAATAGTAACTGTTGGAATTTTGATAGTCTCGAAGGGATACATGAAGTAAAGTAACATTTATATTTGCTAAGTTGATCATGGCTGAATTAGGAAAATCAGTTTGCAAGGACATATAGGCTATAGCAGTCTGAATCAGGGAGATGGGGAAGTTAATTAAATCAGGTTTCTTTGGTAAGAATTAGTGGTTTACTGAGGGATATTGTGGTTTTATATTGCTATTATATTTCACTGCATTTGGTCATTTTCTGGGGAGTTTGAAATCAGCAAGCCCAAACCTGCAATCTTTCCTTGAACTTTCAGCCCCATTACTAAGGATGCAAATGTGCTATCTTTTTGTATGCGTTTGAAAGTCATCTGCCTTGACGAAAGGTTTTCTGATTGATGAGAATGTGGAACTTCTTTGAAGCAAAAAATTCGTTAAGTCTGTTGTCCTTATCTGATTGATGTGAATGTGGAACTTGTTTGAAGCTGAAAAAATGGTACTTCGGGTATAATTTACTTATTTTATGATGGGGTTATACAGGGAGATTGAGAGGAAACAGGGTGATTTTGAATTGCATATGTATTGAGTGTTTCATATTGTCTGTAGCTTCAGTGGTCCTCCAATGCTGTTTTGGCTGTTGTAGTTACTTGCAACTTTATAATCTGGGTCTTATTTGCTCTATTTCTTGCAGAAGTTTCCTGGTTCACCTAAGCAACAAAATGATAAGTCAAATGCAAAACCCCCACTACCAAATCACTCGTCATCACAATTGCGGAAAGGAGCATATCATGAATCCCTGGACTTTGTACTGTCTTTGTGCGACACTTCCTATGGCCTAGTGGATGTATTCCCGGTTGAAGATCGAAAAAGTGCCCTTCGAGAGGTTTACCATTTCTTTTGCTGTGTACTTTTTTGGATTCTAATATTAATAATCATTCATAAGTTCCTGGCATCACTTACTAGTGCTGTGCCAGCATCTAGTTGTTAGACAATGTGTACTTGACCTGTTTCTAATAGCAATTTTTTACTTTTGCTTCTTTCCAGTCACTTGTGGAGATCAATTTGCATTTAGTTGAGGCTCAACTAGCTGGAGGTTAGTGCCACGGCCTTAGTTTTCTTGAAGGGAAAATGTCTTATTATTCAAAAGGCTAAAGCTAGTAAATATTTAATTAGTCTACTAGAGGCTATTACATGAATGCTTGCAATGTTCTTGTAGTGGATTACATGTCCTGTTAGTTTATGTTTGCGGGTATCATCTGTAGTCCTAAATTTTGTCTTGTTCTTTATATTTGACGAGGACTGTTGTTTTAAGTTGATGTTGTATTGAATCAGAGAATTTTCTTCGATACCCCATCATATTGTTTTATTGGGTTGTTGCAGACTAGCCATATTTTGTCTTTTTACCCTTTAATTTGCTTATGAATTTTTTAATGGAAGGAAGACAGAATTGTAAAAGTGCTCCTTAATCTACTTAATCTTTCATTTAAAAATAAATCTCCTTACTAATTTGAGGTCATGATCATAGTCTGAGTGGCAAAGTGTTTCTTTTCCCCATTCCAATTACCAGCTCTTCTTCATGATGCAAGACTAGTGACAACCTCTCTTTTTTTCTTGAAACAATTGAATGGTGCCCCTTTTGATTGCATTTTCTAGTGTTTGGAAATGACAACCAGGGAGGTATATTCATGATTTGTTGATTTGCTAGGTTTACTTTTGTTTACCAAATCCAGGGGTTTGCTTTCCTCTGGGAAAGGGCATGTACCGTGTGGTTCATATACCTGAAGATGAGGCTATTCTACTGAACTCCAGAGAAAAGGCACCTTACATGATCTGCGTGGAAGTTTTGAAAAGTGAAATACCAAGGTACTGATTGACTTGCATCTCTGGTGTAGTAGAGAAAATGCCAATAATATCACATGTTTAAGTTTCTGCTTATACTCGATACAATAACTCAGCCGTGGTCGTACTTTTTCAAGTTTCCGCTCCCATGCTACGTGTTCTCTGTTCTACCTCATCATGTAGTCCATTTGCTTTATCTTTTGTAGCAATTCTAAGGATGCCTCTGGTGCTCAAAAGCTTTCAAGAGGAGGAATTCCTCTAGCTAATGGGGATGCATTGTTGCCAAAGCCACCACCATGGGCATATCCGTTGTGGACTACTCAGGAAGCATACCGTAATAGTAGTGATAGAATGTCAAGATCAACGGCTGAAGCCATTGATCAGGCAATGTCCCATTCTTCCGAGGCAAAGTTGAAGGTTGTCACTGTGAGTCTTTCTGTGGAGAGGCGGACGGTTGATTCAAGATTGAAAACTGAAGTGCCTGATTCGCACTCTGGCATCCGCCGCAGTAGTTCACGCAGAAAGGCTGCAGATGGCTGTGATTTTGACTGGATAAAGGTAGTTTTGACAGCAGATTCTAGAGCCAGAATGGATGATATTGGAGATGAAGGGCCACGTAGAAGGGAGCATCGTCGTGTTCCAAGTACTATTGCGATAGAAGAAGTGAAGGTGAGAAGTCTATGGTTATCTTTTGTTCTGGCTTATTTTAATGTCTATTGGTGGTCGTGACTTAATTTTTCTACAGGCTGCAGCAGCCAAAGGTGAAGCACCTCTTGGACTTCCTCTTAAAGGAGCTGGGCAAGATTCATCAGATTCACAACCTAGGGTGACACTCTCAGAACAAATACTACATGCCTTGTTTGCCGCAGAATGTTGGTTTATAAGTTTTTCTTCTGTTGGTGACAGGCAAATGGTGGCACTCCTAGAGCCACTGATCCCTTATCTGGTGAACTTTGGGATTTAAAAAAAGAGAGAATACGCAAAGCTTCAGTACATGGGAAGTTACCCGGTTGGGACTTGCGCTCTGTAAGTTCTCTGTGTTTTCGCGAACAAAGGTTAACCAGCACAGAATTACTGCTCTGTAGTCTATCAAACCATGGGTGTTTCTAAAGTTATATGATTGTATTTGCCTGTATTTTCTAGTGGTATCAGCAATACGATTTTGAATCAAGAACCAAATGAGTATTGTTTTTGTTTTATGAAAGTTCCAAGTGCATGTTACGACTACACTCATTCAGGGTTCCTTCGTAGGTGCTTGCTTGCTAATATTGACTTCCCATTTGCCCATTAGCAACGTTAGGCATGAATTTTCTATCAGTACGGCCACAATTACTGCTCAATACCAGATGCCTGGACTTTTCTGATGCTATATTTTTTAGCACTCCTTTGACAATTCCCATTGATCTGAACTGAAAACTGAAGCGATCTCCATTTGGTGGCTGTTTAGAGATGAGGGAAACCACCACCATGAATTACTATGTGGTTGCTGGTTTTTTGGATTGTGTATCTGTAGTTTGTCAGTGACGTCAATCAATGGTACTTTATGATGTGATTCTAACTTTTTGTCTTTTCACATGCTCTTGGGGTCTAATAGGATGAACTTCTAGGAATTATGCATGTGCTGTAACCTTTTAGCAGAAACGAGAATACTCATCGTTCCATGGGCTGATTAGCACATGGTTAGTGATCGTGTTTATCATGATCTTGATGTTACACTTTCCCGGATTGGGCCAAGTTGTCCATTTGACCTTTGCTCTGATGGTGCTTAATTTGCTATCTACTTAAACTCCAGTTTCATGGCTTTAATGGATGACCTTTCTCGTTCCTTTTATAGATGATTGTGAAGAGTGGGGATGACTGCAGGCAGGAGCATCTTGCTGTGCAACTTATTTCTCATTTCTACGGTGGGTGCTCGAATATGATCATAGTTGAGCTGCCATACTTTTTACTGGTTCTCTTTTATGACTTCTTGTTACAGAACACAGTTGCTAGGACATGTCAGTCAGTTGGTTTTGTTTCTCTAGCTTTTTTTAGGGAAGTATTTTCTAAACCCAAACTGAGCATTTCTGCATAGCTTAGAATATTTATCGAGTTTACTAGGAAGGCAACCTAATGATTTGAAAGATGGACGTGAAAATAAGTTTAAGGAAGAGTCTTACTAGAAAACCAATGATGACCATGAAGCCCAATGGACATGTGAATATTTAATTTTGCTGCTGACTTTTACTACATCAACTCTTATACCGAGTAGTTTCACGACTATTACATTCTCTTAACGTTGGCTTCCAGTTTTTTTAGCTTTGGCTTTCTGTTACTTCGTAGCTGGTTAATCAAACTGTTGCCTGTTTTCATTTTCTCCCTCAGTATGCAATATTCTGCTGTATGATATCGTACTAGCTAAAGCATTGAGAGAGTTCTGTCATATTAGGAGACAGTTTTGTTGTCTTTTCCTGTCTGTTTTCCCTTTAGCTGTTGTTGGGTAAGTCCTAGATTTGGAAGGACTACTTGGGCTTCTTAATCATTAGCTGTTAATGTTTAAAAACAAGTAAGATAACTAGTAATTTAATGACTGGTAATGAGAAACAATGATCAATCAGTGAGTGTTGATATTTCGAAGAAATCATACTTTGATCTGTTTGCTGATAAGTGTTTCAAAATACAGAGTTTCAGTAGTAGCAACGATAATGATAGTAATTTTCTTCTTATATCAGATGTGTTCCAAGAAGCTGGGTTTCAAACAAAGATGCTATAATAATAGTTACTATTATTTCTTTATCAGATATATTCCAAGAAGCTGGGCTTCCTCTTTGGCTGCGTCCTTATGAAGTTTTGGTGACATCTTCTTACACAGCTCTTATTGAAACAGTTCCAGATACGGTACACATTCATTCTTGTAGCCTCTCTCTTTGACAGAGCTATTAATGATATTTCATGGTACCTCACCTTCAGTGTTGCTGTTTGTTGTAGGCTTCAATTCATTCCATCAAGAGTAGATATCCTAATGTAAATAGTTTGCGTGACTTCTTTGTTGCCAAATATACAGAAAAATCCTCAAGTTTCAAGCTGGCGCAGGTATTAGTCACTGCAACTGTTGTATCTTCCTTTTTGTAGTGAACAAGTAACTGACTAGACACCTGACTTTGGTGGTTTCAGATTCCCTAGAAACTTCTTTTGTTTTTGCCTTTTTTTTTTTTTTTTTTGTTTCTGTTCCACTGTAACTTGAGAGTTATTCCTTTGCCTATACAGTCTTTCAACTGTTGGCAGGTACTGTTTCTTTTCTTTCATTCTTGTTGATAGCATGGAGAAAAAATATTTAGAGACAAATCTGTCTCATTCCTGTTGATAGCTGAGGGGAAATCCTTGGTTTATTTGTATAAGTTTACTTCAATCTTGTTTGGTGAGAAGGTGGCATTTTGATTCTGTCCCTGTACGCTCACTGTCCTTGTAACTTGTAAAATATGCTTTGATTTTATTGTCAGCTGGCTTGGCAGGACATGACCTTTAATTCATTAATGTGTTCGTTAATTCTTTTTGTACAGAGGAACTTCGTTGAGAGTATGGCTGGTTATTCGCTGGTGTGCTACCTTCTCCAGGTTTGATACCGTCTCTCCTCTTAATTAACTAATTTTGGTGATAACTGGCCAAGCGGTGTGGTGTGGGGTTTGCTTATATCACTCTTATGCATTGTGCTTGCCTTCATTTTGTAAGTGTCCTGTGCATGGACAAAATAGATCCTACTACTAGGGTACTATACTTATTGAACTTTGTAAGAGGTGTGAGCGAGTATAAAATTATTAAATTATATAAAAGCTCCATTTGAGACTTCAACAAAGTACTCGAAGATGTTATGGGCTCTTTTCATCATGTCGCTTTAACATTTTCTTCTCATTCTTTTTTCATCTCAGGTGAAAGATAGACACAATGGAAACCTTTTATTGGATGAAGAAGGTCATATTATTCATATAGACTTTGGGTTTATGCTCTCCAATTCGCCTGGTGGAGTGAACTTTGAGAGTGCGCCCTTCAAGCTAACCCGGGAACTTCTTGAGGTAAGAATGTTTATGTACAAAGGGTGGATTTCCCACTGTCCTTATCTCTGAGTTCGTTATCTTCTCAATTAGTGATGCATGTTTATATAAGTTTGGGAACATACTTATCGAGCCTCTTTTGGGTTCTAGGTCATGGACTCTGATGCAGAGGGAGGTCCAAGCGAATTCTTTGACTATTTCAAGGTATACCCGTTATCCATATTGTTTATATCAACATTAAGCCAGGCTATGAGGTGACAAGATTTACCTGTACTCTTAACTAGAAATGGTTTGTTTTTTGTTGGATTTGGAAGTTATGAACACTGTTGAGAACCGAGTGCTATCTCTTTTTTGAAAGAATTAACTTCTTGTTTTCTCGTGTCAAATGCAGGTTTTATGCATTCAAGGATTCTTAACTTGTCGTAAGCATGCAGAGCGGATAATTCTTCTTGTTGAGATGTTGCAGGTACACTAATTGTTTCCTGGGAAATCAATATTTCTTTTCTATCCCCCCTTTGGTAGAAAATATTATAAGATTCTTTATTTCGTATGAAATAGTAAAAAAAAAAAAAAAAAAAAAAGATACCAGACTGCGTTCTGTGAAGAATTCATTTGCCTCGTCCTGCCCTAACAAGTGAATGATCTCATAGAACAAGACATGATTTTCTTTTCTTGTTCTCTTATACTCGGGCTGTTGCGTTCTCAAAACTGTCTCCACAAAAGCTCTGGTGCATTAAGATACTCGAGAGTATCATAATCTCTTTGGGTATGATCTATGATGCATCATACTGATGATGTTTGTTCTTGGATATGCTGGTGCAATAAATGGCCTCCTGTTGATAGTTCTTATTGCCCAGTGATCATAAGTGCTCCAGCTTGCTTTTATATGCATGCGAGTTGCTCTGCATTTTCTGCATTACCGGACTGTTATAGTAACCCAGTTAATCTTGTGATGTACCTGATCAGGATTCTGGATTTCCTTGCTTCAAGGGGGGTCCAAGGACTATTCAAAACTTAAGGAAACGGTTTCATCTAAGTTTGACTGAAGAGGTAAGCGCCCTTCAACCCCTAGTATGCTCAAATTTCCAGTTCTAAACTTGCCTGATTAGTATCGATTTGTTTACGAATGAACTTTTACTTTCTGCCAGCAATGCGTCTCCTTGGTACTCTCTCTTATCAGCAGTAGTTTAGATGCGTGGCGGACAAGGCAGTATGATTATTATCAGAAGGTATTGAATGGTATATTGTGAGAGATCCAGAGTAAGCTTCATATAATCACCATCCATTTCTCTCTGCATAAATGAAAACGGTCGCATGAAGCATGATGAAGTATCCAGTCCTGTAGAAATTTATGTCGTATGAGATCACATGAAACAGGCATCCTACTTGCATGATACCAGATACGAGCTTAACACGAAACATCACAAGGCCGTCTACTTTACGACTAGGTTTCTTCCTGTTGTGAGGGATCTTGTAACACTAGGCTTGGCTGCACATGACATTAGGTGTAAGAGTATTTTTTTTTTTTTTTAGTTAAGCAGAGTTTCCCTTTCCAATTTCTTTTCGTTCCTCTCGTATCTGGGGATGCAAGCCTTATTCTGGGAAGAAGTGAAGAGTTATACCCATACTGTATAGAGCAGCAAAGTCCATTGGATGGCAGACGAGGCACAAATGTCTTTTCGAAACCAAGATTGGAGCATATTCGTGCTCTCGATAGAGGTGGTCGACGGTTACATTTACTTCGAGATTTGAAAAGGTGGCTGCATTGGCAGTGAGGTTTTGAAATTGTGATTTTTTTTTGTTTGGGTGATTGTAAATGAGAAGGGGGGGCTAAGATTTATAATTTGTGTTGGAGGACAAATGTAACCATCCATCTATCAGCCTGATGAGGTCGTTGTTTTTGTATTATGATTAGTTGTTCTTGTGGTTGTGAAGTGTATGTGCCAAAGGAAGGGAGAAGAGTTGACACTTTGACGACGTGATTTTTTGTTTTCCTGTTGCGTATTGTGGAGCTGGGTTTTGATATATACCATCAGTGGAAAAGGGTTCTGTTGTGCTGATCCATTAGTAAGTTCAGTATATCCTTTGAAGAGGTTTACCTGTTTTCTTCTCTCGTATGTTTGTTCAACGATATATGTTCGATGTGATGATCATCTATCGTACTTTGTTCGTGCCACTTGCGAAAAGAGCATTATCACCTTCGCGAAGGGGCTGCTGACTTTGGTCACCGTGAGGTGATCTGGTTTCAGTGTTGTGATCATCGTGATATGCTAAAATGCACAATTATCATCTTGTGTCCTTTGATTTTGATCTTTATCTGGGACAAGACAACGCACAAGTTTGAACTTTTTACCAAACCACCAAGAGCTAAATAGGTGTAAACTGAAGGGAAATTGAGCATCAGGTTTTACCAAAAAGGAGGGGGGGGGGGGGGGCGTTGTGATTTTTGCACGAAGGTAATTTTTGATTTTTGCGCGAAGGAGGTGACGACCGGCCGTTTGACCCGCCGCCGGCAAGGGCGACGTCCTGCCGAGGAGTCGCCGGCGAGGGACGTTCGTCCGGCCATCGTCAGAGACAGACGGCAAAATCTGTCGTCGTCGGGTAATTTGCCGGCATACCTCGTCGGAGAAAGGGTATGTGGTCGTCGGGTAATTTGTCGGCGTACCTCGTCGGAGAAAGGGTCTGTCGTCGTCGGAAGGTGGCGGTCGCCGGCGGGAGGTTGCGGTCGCCGGCGGGAGGTGGCTGTCGCCGGCGGCGAGTATTGTAGGATTGTGTTTGGAAAAGTGTTTGAATGTTTTGGTCTTGGAATGTGTGAACTAAATGTATTTAAATGTCATGGGTATTATTGTACTTTTTATAATTTAGGACTACAAATAAAGATAATTTAGGGCTACAAATAGTACGCCTCTTAAAAATTTGGGTAAATACAATATATTAGCCATAACTATTAAGTAGCGGGGAATTATAGCCACAACTATCGAAATACAAATTATTAGTCAACCATTAAGTTTTGATAACACTTTTGTTAGTAATGATGACTAAACTTTTACGATGCTGAGACGGCTCCCACATGGCAGTCATCATATAATATTTTTTAAGATGCTGACATGACTTTCCTATTTAAAATTTTGAGAACAGTAACGGGCTGTTAGTCAAATCTTGACCCACAACAATAATTATGGTTAATAATTTGGATTTCGATAGTCACATGAAAAGGAAACTTCCAAACTATAGATAGCCGATAATTGACAAAGGCAGTTAAATGTTTGTATCAATTGTGTTCGAGTTTGGGGAGTTGTTTCCTTACTTAATAACACAATGACGTCCACATTTGGAATTTTGCAAGCTTACTTAATAGGGATTTTATCTCTTGGTTGAACTAGTGGATCATAGTCTACTAACTAAATCTCTTGGTTATTAGTAAGGTACAGGGATAAATTTTACAGGCCAACACATTTGTAGATGAATTATGGAATGACAATACAACTCATTCATGATTGTGGGTATCTAATCGAATTCGTATAAGGTTTTATTGGGAGAAATAGTTGATCGGTATTACTTTTGGGCAGGGTTTCGTGAATTCGAAAAGGAGGGTAATGATTTTGATGTTTTAAGTATTTCACAGGAGCCATTTGACCATATACTATAACTATGTCCTAAATATCCTATTTCAGAACTTTGATCATCCATATCTCATCGAACATGATGTTCGATGATTAACTCTTAGATTACAAATCTTGCTCATTCTACTTCACTTTTATAAACAATATCTCAAAAAGTGTCAAACAGTATATAAATTCTAAGGAAATATTACATTATATGAAAAATTAGAGATATCTTATCCCGAAATATGTAATTTTGTTGTATCATATTACACCCTACCACCTTGATTATGAAAATGGCTACCATTTACAACCGTGATTCCACTACGGTATGCAGAACAACCACCCCCAACATTAATCGGGTCAAAATCAATGAGATATTATGAAACACGGTATGCAGAACAACCACCCCCAACATTAATCGGGTCAAAATCAATGAGATATATGTTTCATAATGAGAGCTCGATCACTCTATAATCTTATGAGATTCCCAAATTAATAATCAAACAAATAGTTTAAAATTCATAGTCTGGTCCTTCTTGTTAATTTTTTTGCTACAATGTTAAAGCGAATTACATTATGGACAAACTAATTTTTGAAATCTCAAATTATTTAAAAAGCGAAATAACATTCTTGTAAATAATACCATCGCTCACTTTCGATAATCGAGATCATACCTCCATTCAAGCCTCTTTAACCAAACCCTATGGTCAAGGCCACCAATTCCCTTCTCCAACCTAATCATAAAAACGAAAGAAGGATGTAAATGTTAATGAAGGTTTATTTAAGTACTAATTAGCACTAAACAAGTAAATTCCACTTAAACCCTCAGCATTTACGTTCTGTCCTATAAGTAGCAAGCTCTCACAACTCGATCGGTCTCACTTCTCCCGTACGCTACTCACCAATTCCTCCGCTCCTCCTACGCGCTTCTGCTCTCCGCCTCCGGCCTCCGGCAGCCTCCTTCCTTCCCTTATTTTTCACGGTACGGCTGGGCGAAACGCCTCAACTCTCTCCCCGTTCTTTGGCTTTGCTTCTGAGCTTTCGAGCTGTGTCTTGGTGTGTTGTTTCCGCGCGCGCGAATATGATCTAGGGTTTCGTGGGGGATACCCTGCTCAAATTGCTGCATATTGATGCTGCGATGAAACAAATGGTTGGTTTCGCTGGGCGTTGACTTGACGCCGGTGGTGATTGAATAATCGGAGGCCGTGTTGTTTGTCTCTTGTTTTTCTGCTTTCATTTTTCTGTTTTGATGATATTGCGATTGAAATGTATCTTCGGTGTGTCTGTTTATCTCAATCTCATTCCTTTTCGCTCGAATTGTTAGGTGTCCCATGTATTCTGAGTCTCGCACTTTTCTGGGGAAAAATTGGTTCATGAATCGTGGGAGGCTGTGGTGGTCTTGGAAGTTCTTCTTCAGACATTGGACTTGACATCTGGGATTTCTCAGTAGTTTGTAATTAGAGGGAAGGTGGGGAATAGAGGATAGTTATTTGTGAAGAAGATATAGCCATTTGAAAGAGAAAAAATAGAAAAAACAAGAAAGAGTAGTAGTAGTAGTAGATAACATAAACAGCTGTAGAGGATCTTGGTACATTGTCCGCAACCCTTTTAGCCTGTCATGGTGGGAAACACAAGGCTACCCCCGGGTTTTCGTTTTCACCCGACTGATGTCGAGCTGGTTAGGTTTTATCTGAAGAGGAAAGTGATGGGGAAGAAGCTCCCCTTTCATTGCATTGAGGAGCTCGACCTCTACAAGTTCCCTCCTTGGGATCTCCCACAGAAGTCGGTGTTGAGAACTGGAGATCTGAAGTGGTACTTCTTTTGCCCTAGAGAGAAGAAGTATGCAAGTGGAACAAGGATGAATCGTACTACCGAATTCGGGTACTGGAAGACCACAGGGAAAGATAGAACAGTTCTTTATGATAATGAGGTGTCGGGAATGATCAAGACTCTGGTTTTCCACCTTGGTAAGGCACCGAAGGGTGAGCGGACTGATTGGGTTATGTATGAGTATAGATTGGAGGACAAGAAGTTGACTGATAGTGGCATTGCTCAGGACTCTTATGTCCTTTCTGTTATCTTTAAGAAGGATGGGCCAGGACCTAAAAATGGTGCTCAATATGGGGCGCCATTCAAGGAGGAAGACTGGGAGTTGGAGGATGATGATGAAGAAGAAGTGAATGATATAGGAGCTGCTTTATGGGCTGGTGGGTCTACTACTCCATCTAAGGGATTATCAGTTGATCCAATTAATTTAGTTCCCGAAGTTACTTGTGTTGTGTCGCCACAATCATGTCTATCGGCTGAGAAAGCAAATGCATATGATGTACCTGTTACTCCTGATACTGTCAATGCTACTACTGAAGGTGTGTCTCAGGCACCTGCTTCTGAAGACGTTCCCGAAGCTCTGCATGTTGTTCCCAAAGAACCTTTGGAATCTGCACTAATCAGTTCCATTGGGTTGCCTGAAGCTGGAAATGGGGAGTACGATGATGATTTGCTCTCCATGTTGGCTAACTTCTCTGAAGAAGCTCCGTTTACACTGGATGATTTCCAAAATACTGAGGTATGTTTCTATAATACGCTGTCTAACTAGTATCTAATTGCTTAGTTCTGCTAGCATGGTATTAGCTTTTTGCTTACCATTATTTGTTCCAGTGTATGTTTGCATTCCCCATCTGTAGTGATAGAAAGAAGCTCTCTTATATGTTTCTCCACCTGTGCCTGTTTTAGTTTTGGTTGATTGAACAAACATCATGAACTAGCAGTTGTTTGAGCTAGGATTAGTGAACTGGGTTGCTTGGGTTAACCAAACCGGGAAACCTTTCAGAATTAATAAATATTGTGATGAACCGCTAAATCTCTCGACGCAATTCTCTACCCCTATCCTAATGGTTTATTGGAACAAAAATGTGCCTAGCTCAATGACCAGTCTGGACCAGGGTTTTCTTGGGTAAATTTGTTGAAAATTAATTCCTTTATACGTACTTTTTGTGGTCTTTTACACAGTTTCTGTTATTTCCAAACCAACAGCCGTTAGCTTGTAGTCGACCTGAACCATTTATCACATTTGAGGTTAGGTATCTGGTTTATCAGCCAAACCAGAACTGGTTAGCCACCTCGAAACTATTTTCTTGTCAATTTTTCCACCAGTGTCTCTAGTCATGTTAAGTCCTCAGTTTTGGTTGATGGTTCGTTTCTCATTTGACAGTTCTTGTTTAGATATATCCAAGGACTAACCTCAATCTAATAACTTGTTCCGCAGGTGATTAATAATCCCGATCAAGTCGGTTTGATTAGTGATCCTGATCAAGCTATTGCTCTGCCACCCTGTCCAGCTCTGGATGGCAATGGAATCTACAGTAATATGGGACATCTCGGTAACTTTGCCACATACAGCGAACCTCAGGGCCTGTTCAATGGCTATGTTGCTGAACTCGACGACGCAGATTTCATGTTCGCTGGTGGGGGAGACGACAATTTCTTGGAGTTGATGGATCTGGACACCCCGTTGAACAACTTCCAACAACAACAACAGCAACAACACAATCAATACGGAGATTCCCAATGTTCGCAGCAGAACAACAACAACAGCAACAACAACAGCTACTACAACAACAACAATGTCTGCGATGATCTGCTGGAGTTCGTCAATAGCTGTTGGAAACATTCCGGCGGCGGCAGATGATGGGAGTTCGTAGTGATTGTAAATGAGAAATCGCCCTTCGAGCTGAAGGGGACGATTGATTGTCTTTATTTATTTGCATCTGGACTTTCGTTTCTGCAATTCACACTGCTACATATGGTTTTTGACAGTTAACTTGATTTTTATTCTCATTTTATTGCAGTCGTTTATTTCAATATATTTCTTTCATCCTTTGTTGTAATTCTTTCTTTGCCCTTGGTAGTTTTTTGGCTCTTGTTCATGAAGCCTCCCAGAAAAATCCAGAGACCGTTAAGTCAAGTCAACGGGGAGTACCCGAAAGACCGTTAATTTCCCGCCTTTCCACGTGCCATCATCTTGTGGAAAGAAAGGGAGAAAAAAAGCCAAAGAACAGAAGTCTTCTCCCGCACATTTCAACATCAAGTCAACGCTCCGTAATCCTTTTTTTAACTCCGCCGGAGCCCGCTCGAAATTCGAAATCATCACCCGAATCCACCCGACGCCGGTAGCTTTCGGCGAGCACAAAAAGAAATGCAACGAGTTCCGGTTCCGAAGGACGCGGCGGCAGCCGCTGGCCTCACCTTGAATTGGCCAGCATCTATCTCGGCGGAGGCTGCCGCCGTCCTGAACCATGCCGTCGGAGAGGCGCGACGGCGGAACCACCGAGAAACCACCCCGCTACACGTGGCCGCCGCCGCGCTGGCTCATCCTTCCTTTTCTGCCCTCCTCCTGAACCGAGGTCCCATCAGTTCGCCAAGCGCCTTGCATGAGCTCCTCTGGAGACGCCTGGAACTATGCTTCGCCGTAGCTCTCGACCGACTTTACGGTAGGGTTCGGATATGTCCTCTACAGGAGCACTTCGTCCCCGTGATTTCAAAATCGTTGACGGCGGCTTTGAGTCGAGCTCAACCAAAGCCGTCGGAAGCTGCGGAGATCAAGCTCGAGGAACTGATTTGTTCAATTTTGGGCGATCAGATGGTGGTTAGGGTTTTGTCCGAAGCTGGGTTTAGTTCTGCAGCTGCTAAGGTGAGGATCAAGCTGTTAGGAGCTCCGAAATCAACCCGCGATGGTCTAACTAGTGCCGCCGTGGATCCAAACAATCAAAGGTTAGTGCACCAATTCGGTCTGACAGCTCTTGCAATAGTTCTAGTGCACCAATCATCTTAATAGTTTCCACAGTTAATTGAAGTGTATGGTGTCGCTGTTCCATGTATTTGTGAGTGAAAGACCTATTACATTCCCTGATGACGATGTTTTGTAAATTTGTAATCCTAGATTGCAACTCGAGACAGAGAAGGAAGTGAACCGTGCTGTGAACGTCTTGTTGAGAGGCACAAAGAGGAATCCCATTTTGGTTGGTGAATCCGGACCATACAGAGTTGCGAGGGAGCTTTTGAGGAGACTAGAAGATGAAGAGATTGAATATGAGATGTTGAAGAATGTTCAAGTGATTGACTTGGAAAAGGAGTTCCCACTTGAAGTAGCAGCAACCTGTGCCAAGATTATGTTTTTGTGTCGTATCATCCAGTCGTCGGAAAGAAACTTGTCCCCTGGTGGCGTGATAATCCATTTGGGCGATTTGAAATGGCTGGTCAAGGCACCACTGGAGTTTGCAGAGGATTGCTCTGAACAGCTGGCTGTTGCAATGCAATGGGCAATGCAAAAGGTCGGGACACTTCTGAAGAAGATTCGAGAAGGAATGGGCGGTGGGAGGATTTGGTTAATTGGCACGGCTAGTTGTGAGACATATATGAGATGTCAGGGTCGTCATCCTGATGTAGAAGACTGCTGGGATCTGCATCCATTGCTGAATGCTGCCGACTCTACTCTTTCAGGGATGGCTTCAATGTGTGTCTCCTATCGCTATTCTTTCTGTTGTTTCATTTTTTTAATCTATGGTATGAGTGTCATGACAGTATCAAAATATTGTGATTTGTGCATCAATACCAGATTGCGGCAGGACAATGTGGCAAAACAAAGACATCATGATGATGTAGTTAAGCCGGTTGATGATATCTCAAGAGCCGAGAAAATTCCTTTCCCGGGCAGCCGATCAGAATCTGTGATGGAAAAAGATGAGCTCTGGGGAAGATTAGAGGGTCGAGAACTCCGAGATGGGATGTTGCACCTGAAAGGTGGAGTCGACGCCAGAATTGGAAATGTGGATTCTGGTGGAAAGGTTTCGATGGTTGGTCCAACTACCCAGGAGACGAATTCAAGAAGCAACATTCTTGATCATACAATGGCAAATCACTGGAATCTGCAGCCAGTGCCAATAACTGTTGGAGCCCCTCTTTCAGTAATGCTTCCAAGGTATTACTATATCCTGTCTTCTGATAATCTTGCGTTTTCATTTAAACTTCCTTCGTGCCATCTAGCATTGCTAGTCCTGATTGTTATATTAGTAAGTATGGTTCTGTTTCCACAGTTTGATATAGAATTTGCTTGAGTTAATTCTTTTCTGGTCCTCTGGCTTCTCCAACGACAATGTTTGGGAAGTCAGAATCTTCTTCCAATCTGGTTTTCATCAGTTTTATTATGAATCTTAAAATTTTGCAGTTCAACTAATTAACCAATCATGTGTCTGGTAATGATCATAGTAATACTGGCAGGAGGAGGTTTGAAACGGGCAACCATGATCAAGTAACGTGTGTTCCGGAACAAATGAGCTCAATGACAAGCTTAATGCCATCCGCCATCTTGAATATCGTTTCTCGTGATGACCTGGGACAGTATTATAGCCCTCAGCTCCCGCCAAAGGCTTTGTCATCTAATCCATATCGCACCCAGTTGCTTGTTCATCTTATCTTACCCAACTTCACCAACACCAGTTCTGTCAAACAATTTCAGAGTGGGGGTTTTTTCAAGGTAACATTTCTTTTTTCCTTCATAACCTTGCATTGTCGGTGAGAACCCAACTGACCAACTTTATCTGCTCTGGTTTGATGTGTATATGCTGCAGTATCTTGTTAACTTGAAGCTGATGGATCTCAGTGACTCCAGTTTGACTAGGCTCCCTGAAACTTCAGCGGCGCAGAAACTCGAGATATTGAATCTCTCTGGCTGTGTGCACTTGCTAGACGTGTTGTCGATTCACCAGCTTTCTAAGCTTCAGCAGGTGAAGTTAAGAGGTTGCATCAGTGTCAGGAGACTGCCAAGTTTGTGCAACTTGAGGTTGCTCAAAATTCTCGATCTCTCAAACTGTTCGAGGCTCAACAAGCTGCCTCCTTCTATGGGTCATCTCTCTGGTCTCATCTCCTTGGATCTTACCAACTGTAGGCAGCTCGAGCGGCTTCCAGGAAGCATTTTTAAGTTGAAGTTGCTGGAAACTTTTAGCATTGCTGGGTGTTCATGCCTCATGAAACGGCTCACCATCGGAGAGAAGCAGGCGATTCCTAGTGGGAGTAGTACTCTCTTCAGCAAAACCTGTAAGTTTGAGAAACCCTCTCCACTCTATATGTTGTATTATAGAATTGCATTCAAGCATCGAAACAGGACTTCTGCTTTCTGGATGGCGGGAAAAAATTCTGCTGAATTTGAGTTTGGTAATGTTTTGGGGTTGAATACCCCCAATGGTTGCTGAATGATGGGCTTGGTGCATTAAAATTGTCTTAGCTAAGTTGTATCAGCATGTCAAATTGGTTTGTCATGTTATCAGAATCGTCTAATCAGTAGTATCCTATGCATCCACTCAATCCAACCTGTTTGAATTCTTGTATGGGTTTAACTTGACGTTGTCTTTGTCAAAGGTGGCACAGAAGCCAAGATCATTTCACACCAAACCAGTCAAATCGAGATGAAATTCATCCCTCCACAACCCGAAGCAATGGAGTGGGATGTAACACTAACCGGAAGCCACACAACTCCACAAAAGCAGCCTGAATCTGTGACAAAGGTTCCGACATTCATTCACAGCAAAACAAAGAAACAGCTCGGATTGACTAAGCCGAAGCATATCAGAACCTCTTTCAAGGTAAAAAAAAAAGACTCAACTGCAAGTGCTGCAAGCTTTTTAGCACCTAAGGAATCTGTCACACAACTTCGTTCCCCGTTTCTTCTTCAGCCTCAGCAGGGGCGAGTACAAGTCTTCTCCATCTCCACGTCGCCCCAGGACTTCAGGGAGGCAGTAGAAGCTCTTACAGCAGGTGGCTGTCCATCTTTTTTGTCTACTCTAGCTGGGAAAAAGAAGGATGCTTTAAGAGACTACTTAACCATGTCATTGGAACACATTCACTTCCTGCCGGATGGGTTCCTGAGCATCGAGACCGTCGTCCATTCCCTGTTGGGTAAACACAGAGCCAGTTTGTCTCTGAACGAGCAGATTGCGCTGCAAGCTATCAAGCATTCCTTGGCCGAGTTGAGCCGAAGCTTTCCAGGTATAGTGATGAGCATGAAGAATGCAGAAGCTGAGAAGACGGTGCTCGTGGCGAAATCGATGGAGGTCGAAGCGAGGTTGGCTTTTGGAGAACAAGAGCTGGCTTCCGTTGAAGCTGAGTTCTCCAAGGTTTTGGAGGAAGAGGAGATTTTGGATGCAGAAATCCATTCCTTGATTGCCAAGAAATTAGAAATGATAGGTGCTCGTGTTGGCTTGAACAATTAAACGTACAGGATAGCAAGCATTCAATAAGTGAACAGATTAATAGACAAACTATAGTATATATGCAAAGTACTATTATTATTACTTGAAACAAATCTCAACCATTCAACATCCGAATCCAGCCAAGGGAAAACAATGACAATTTCGGAAAATACAAATTCAAAAACAACAAGAACAAGAAGGCCTGACACCCAAATATATATAGAGATTACAAAAGACCCTTCATTTTTTTTGCGGGTGGCGTGGTGGTGGTACGTAGGAATTGGAGGTCAGGTTTAGTTGTAGCCTTCGGGCTTGTAGGCGATGAAGGAGATGCACTGCACCTGACGCTTGTTGTCGAACCCGATGATGCGGACGAACGCCTGGGGGTACTCCTTGACGCACTCCTGGAGCTCCTTGAGCACCTGCGACGAGTCGGTGCACCCGAACATGGGCAGCTTCCACATCACCCAGTACCTTCCGTCGTAGTACCCTGGGGACCTGTTGTTCTCACGGTACACGAAACCGTGCTGCACATCAAACACATCGCGTCACACCAACAAACAACAAGTTTTCAGTACCTCGTAGTACGACATAATACTACTCGTATTCGAAAGACACTCAGGAAGAACGAACCTCCAACTCGAACTCCAAGCAAGGAACCCATCCAGACCTGAGCAGGTAGTCGACCTCCTTGCCCAATTGCTCCTCAGTCAATGGAGGAAGGTAGGAGAGGGTCTCGTACTTCTTCAAACCCAATGGTGGCCACACCTATATACCAATTACACATCTGATTAACGAATTGTGTTCAATAAAACATAAAAGAGAGAGGAGGGGGAAGATGAAGAAGAAGAAAAAAAAAAGAAGGGAAACCTTCATGCACTGGACTCTGCCACCGTTGCTTGTGATGGAAGTAATGTCGTTGGTGGACTTCTTGGTGACGGGGAAGGCGGCTGCGGACTTGAGGCCGGTGAAAGGTGCGACCATGCTGGCCTGAGCGCCGGTGCGGCTCACGGTGGCGACGGCGGAGGACGAAATCATGGACGCCATTGCTCTCAAAATTCGCCTTAGTACTCTAAAGCTGCTTGCTTTTTTTTTTCCTTCTTTATCTGCCTCACACCCAAAACAGAGCTGCCCTTCTTATAGTGGCTGTGACCCCAATTCCCTTTTGATACCATCCGACGGTGGATGATTAGTGGACGAGACGATCTAAACCGTCGGTTTGGATTGGGTTTCATGACATTGTTAATTAGCTCCATTTCTGGCCACAGGATGAGTGAAGAAGGATTTGGTTTTTCTGTGTGTTCGTTTTGCGAAATGGAGAGCCATAGGCCATAGCCTTATCGTAAAGTTTAAAGATCCACCACAATGGCAGTGCCACGTGGCGGGGAGCGTCCCATTATCTTATCTATCTATCTATAGAGGAGGGGAGGTGGGTGGGTGAAAGTGAAAGAGAAAAGAGGACAAAGGCTTCACAGCCAGGCCCAGAATGTGTGGATCGCTTTGCTGAAATGGGTTTCTTCTCCTTTCGTCGGCTTGCTTTTGCATGGTTAGTGCCCAAATTGATCCAAGGTGGTCGAGATATTAGGGCTCTTATAACCAAACAGCTCTCAATTTATAGGCTTAACTCGATCTGTGCTCACTGTTGGTCATATCCAAACACACAATAAGCGAAGCAATTACTGTACCTATTGCAAGATTCCATGGCATGTCATTCTGGAGTGTCGAGCCAGGTGATTAACCACTTTCTTATACGCCTCCTCAAACGAAAGTCGATTCATGAGTTTGAAGTTTGTACAGCCTCGTCATATTATGTGCTTGAAAGACAACGGATTTTTCTTTTACCGTAAGACACTACTTTCATTACTTGCTTTGGAAAAAAAAACCAAGATTACAATAGAGGGGCAACAATCTCTAGGATCTGAATCCAATCTGGGGGCAGACAATTCCTTGCACAGGATCTAGCCACCCAGTCAGCCTTAGAGTTGAGCTTTCTACTGAAAAAATCGATACGAATCCGAGGGAAAACACAAACCAACTGTCTAATGGTCTCGATCAAGGCTGCAGCACGCCATGGCCAAGAACCTGGGGCTCCTTGAACTGCACGCACCAGTGTGAGGCAGTCTGAGCGGATGAGACAGGAGGAGTTGAGCTGGATCGCACATCGGGCTCCCTCCAGGAGGGCCTTGGCTTCCGCTTCAAGAGGTGAAAAACAGTGTAAGGGCTCAACCTTCCCATTGCAAACTTGACCATGGCTATTGGATATGACAACGCCATACGCCGCCTCCTGGGAATCGTGTAGGAACGATCCATCACAGTGTATCTCAAAATCATGAGGTACCTGGCGGTGGTGTAGATTGATCCGGGTGTGGAATGGGCTGGGTGGGATGATGGGAGGTTGTTTCTGGAAATGGGGAGGAAAAGGGGGAGCTCCATGGAGAAGCAACTTTTTTCTTTCCGAGAAATTTTTTTGGTTTTATGCCGACTAGGTATCAAGTGTGCTTGCTTTACAACGGTTAATATTAGGGGTCATGAGGACTTGAACACGTGACCTAAAGGACAAACCAGACTCTAATACAATGTCATAAATCAGTTGGTCTCAATAACTCGAGTTGTTGGAAGAAGGTTATGCTGGATCTTAAATATATGTGATATATATATATATATATATATATATATATATATATATATATATATATATATAGAGTTCTATGGTACCCCGGGTGAAATCCGGGGTACCGCATACCTTAAGTAAGAAAACCCTATCTAGAACTTGAATTGACTGATCTTTCGGACATTATACTATACTCTAACCCATAAAGATCAAAATCTAGGTCTTAATTCACTAAATCTTATACCCCAAAATCAATTTAATTAGAAATAATAATCGACGGTTATGATTCGTCCAAATATAGGCAAAAAAGTAATGCTCCATCTTAGGGTTTATAGTTTATGATTTAGATAATTAGGACCTAGGGTTCACTCGTTAAGGGTTAGGGTATAGTATCATGCCCAAAAATCATGCTAATTCGAGGTCTAGATAGCGTTTTCATACTCAAGGTATGTGGTACCCCGGATTTCACCCGGGGTACCATAGAAGTCACCCTGGGTAAAATCTAGGGTACCGCATACCTTGAGTATGAAAACACTATCGAGACCTTGAATTTACCGATCTTTCGGACATGATACTATACTCTAGTCTTTAAAGATCAAAATCTAGGTCTTAATTCTCTCAATCTTATACTCCAAGATCAATTTAATTAGAAACAATAATCGACGGCTATGATTCGTCCAAATATAGGCATAAAAGGGAATGCACCATCTTAGGGTTTATAGATTATGATTTAGATAATTAGGACCTGGGGTTCACTCACTAAGGGTTAGGGTATAGTATCATACCCAAAAATCCTGCTAATTCGAGGTCTAGATACCGTTTCCATACTCAAGGTATGCGGTACCCCGGATTTCACTCGGGGTACAGTAGAAGACACCATATATATATATATATGGTGTTGTCTTCGGTGCACTCACTTTTTTTAGTGCATTCAGTGCACCCGCCTCATAATCACCTTTTTGAGTAGGCGATTCATGTCAAAACGATGTCAATCACTACTTGTGATATGATAGACATGAAACCCCAGGAATTTACAAAAAAAAAAACCATTAAGTATTTACTTGATTTGAAGGATTTAGATTTAGGAAATTAGGGTTAGTGTTAGGGTTAGGGCTCACATTTTTGGGATTTTGTGTTGGTGTTCAAAATTGAAGGTTTAGGGGTTAAGATAATGGATTGATTAGTTGAGATTCTTTGTTATATCATCATATTAGACTAATGCTACCAGTTAAAATTCAAAATTTGATGTCTATAACTACTTTTAGAGTTGGGTGTATTAAATACACCCACAAAAGCGAGTACACCGAAATAGCCACTATATATATTCAAATATTTGATCCAAACATTTAAAATATCAATTTCTTAAGAATAGGCACCTCAAACTGAGCCATACTTCATCTTGATTACTAGATACATATATGTCATACACCCGCTACAAAGCATGGGTCATTTATCTAGGGGACGGGATACGGTGATAACCCCTAAGGGGGTTGTCAGATTCACAACCAAGGGTATTTTGGGTATGAAAAAAAAGGAATATATTAATTACCTCTTTTGTATTAATTATATTGGGAATTAAAAACCCATATTAAATACAATTTTTTCTGAAATTTAAATCCTATACATTAATATCTCTATCTATCTCTCTCTCTTCCTTTCTCCAGCAGCCACTCCGCATCGACCGACAAACTTTTTCTCCGGCGAATTCTCTCCGGCAGACTCCCTCCGACAACCTGAAAAAATGTACCAATGCGTTAAAAAGTGTACCAATCTATTAGTCTACTGGTAATTAATATATCAGTGCTAGTGGTACGCTACCAGTACGTTAAAAAATGTACCAGTACTAGGGGTACCAGTAAAAAATGTACCAGTACTAGTGGTACGCTACCAGTACAACGCTACTTGTAGAGAATAATACAACGCTAGTAGCACTGGTAGCGCTACCACTAGCATTGGTAGCGGTACCAGTAGAGAATAACACAAAAAAATAGATGATAGTGGTACCAGATGATAGGGGAGCCACTGGTATTGGTACCAGTGAGTAGTGGTAGCGTACCAATAGCGCTACCAGTGGTAGTGGTACCAATAGTGCTACCAGTGGTATTGGTACCAGTATAGACTATCAGATCTGGGGAAAAAAACCCGCCGTTGATGACGAACCCGCCGTTGCCAGGGTAAGCAGTGGAGAGCTCGGCGGTGATGAGAGCCTCCGGGATGCTCCAGATGAAAGGGAAGATGAGGAAGCCGAGGATGGCATAGAGAGGTCCGGCGGCCTGTACGGCCGGTTCCTTGCCGGCGACTTCGAAGTAGATGAGGAAGATGAGAGGGATCAGAGTCAGCTGCTTCTCCTTGATCGTCTTTGTGGTGGTGCTTATGGGAAGCTGCTGCAGTTGTTGCTATGATGGGGATGAGATCTCATCCATGACGGTTGACTGGGAGTGAGGTTGATCTTCAGCTCGTGAATTCATCATCGCCATTGGGTGATTGGTTCTGAATTTGGCGGCGGTGGTGGGAGGGCTGTGGCGGCGGAGAGAGGGGAGGAGAGATGGTGATGTCTACGGGAGAGAGGGAGGATGGAGGAGTTAGGGTTTTTGTTCTTTTTATATGGTAGAGTGAATGATTGGGTGTGGTAAATTTTTATCCTTCCAAAAATATCCTTCCTTTAATCTTAACCGTTAATTTAAAAAAAAAAGAGACAGGAGAGAGAGCGTATCCAAGGGCTATGAAGTAGGTTGTGAATCTGACAACCCCCTTAGGGGTTGTCACCGTATCTCGTCCCTTTATCTAGTTATTTCTTATGCTAAATGAATCATTTTCTCGTATCATATGGTTGTCTAACCCCAGAATATCATAAGAACTAGTTTTTTGGCACGTGTTATGTCGCGGTAGGAAATTAATGATTTATTTGAAATTAAATAATTCAAAAAATTATTTAGATACGATACCTACATAAATTTCATGGAGTGTATTAATAATTTACGAATAGCATATATCATCCGTTTATTTAAGTGTTGTATAATAAATAACTATATATCACTACATAATATTTACGTAGTATATGTTAATCATTAATGAAGACTTACATAATTTTTTTTTAATTGATACATACAAAATGATAATAAATATCTATATATCACTCATGTATATCTTTGCTTGCATGATTAATAGCTATCCCCTTATAAAATTTACTTTATCTAGTGTCTATAAATTTTACAAATGAATTTGTAATTTATGTAATTGTTATAGAACGTTGTTTATGTAACTGTTATAAAAAGTTGTTGCATAAATCTTTCATAATATGTGCTTTAATAATAAAATCAAGTTATAGAAAGGAACATTGGATGAATTTGTAATTTATCTAACTGTTATACAATATTGTAACATAAATCTTTCAAAATGTGTGGTCTAATAAAAATATTAAATTTTAGAAATTAAAATATGCTTAAAACTGTTATGTCAAAGTTAACTAACCTTGCAGAACTTTCACATAATTCAAATTGATGAAGTGTTAATTATTTTAGTTAAAAATTATTGTATTTCAGTTAATAATTTAATATGGTTCTTATTATTTAGTAATAAATAGTGAAAATAAAGGATTTTTAGTTAGTAATTAAATAACAGTGAGCTTGTGAATAAAAGGTAAAATAAAGGAGTTTTAGTTAGATAACAATGAGATTATAATAAAATTTTGATGTAGGAGATGAAAATTCTCTGTGAACCGTACTTATTACAAAAAAAAAACGTAACAAATTAAATATTATTCCTATT